CGGCTGAGCGGCGAGGCTCCGTTGCAGATGCCGATTCGCCGTTTGGCTCATTCTCATTGTCGTGCTTGTTGCTCGACCCGAAAAGGGAAACCATGTTGACTTTATGATTGCGGTGACACGATAAAACGGTGGCCCTCCGTGACAGTCAAAGCCTGAATGGTATCGATCCGTCTTGCCGGATGCTGTTGTTGTTTGTTGTTGGCGTTATGCACCTCTCTCCAAAGACGATGCAGCAGCGAGGTGTTGTCGAAGAGGTCAAGAGAAGAGGGAAGGAAGTGCGGCATTCGAGTGCCAACAAACTTCAAGGAAGGACAATCGACAAAACAATCCCGCTGTTCCGACCTAATAAATGCCATGCGTCCCAGACCAAGGGGCATTTTATCCCATTGCATTCCACTCCCGCCCCCCACTTCAGCTCTCGTCAAGCTTTCCTCATCGTGTACTACCAAGCTTCCCATCGAGTACGTCATTCCCCAGCATTGCGCTTTCGGGGCGGTAGCTCCCCACTAGCCGCCCGCCAGCGCCCAATCTCCTTGGCCCACCACTCCCTCTCCTGCCCACCCCGGGACACTAGCTCCGGCCGGCGGCGCCGCTCCCATCGAAGATCCCCCCTCTGATCGCGGCCGCGAAGCAAGCTTTGGAGCCTGCCTCGCCTCAAAGCGGGAGGAGAGCCCTCGCTGCTGCTGCTGCTGCTACTGCTGAAACGACAAGGCCTCACGGCGAAGCGTTGGCAGTGCTAGCTTGTGCGCCGGATCGGGTCTTGGAAAAGTCGGGTGACTGGCCTGATTTCTCCCCTTCTGGACTGATCATGTTGAACGGTGACGCGACTGGGCGTTCAGTGCTTGGGGGCTGTTGCCTAGTTGGACTGGCGTGTGGCGGCATTGCGACACCCGATCGATCGTGACGATGAAGTAGGGGCGAAACGGTGGTGCTTCCCATGACCACGATAGCACGCTACCTGACGTGGTTCGTCATGCACCATGAGGAAGTCCTTCAAGTCCTTGAATTTGTCCACTTACTTCTCCTTGTTGGTAAGGAACGCAAGAAAGCTTCGAAAGCCTTGATTCGAGACACTACGACCTCGACACTTTGTTCGCCCTCAGCCAGAATCACCAGTACATGCTCGAAAAAAAGAGACACGGCTTGGTACTAAATTTGGTATTGAATGATTAAGCGCCCGGACGGGCCAAAAAGGGTATCTTGAAGAAAGCTGATCAACGAAAGAGACGGCAAAGTAAAGAGAGCAATACGACGCTTGCAACATGCGACTGGTTGAGGGAGGCTTGTGCACTCGATGTCTCACACATCGACGCCCAACACGCCGAATACGTCCTCCATCACCACGGTTCAGCATTCCAGCGAGCCATGACAGCCTTCAGGAATGATTCTTCATCCATCGAACTCGTTCCGCCAAGACATTGCAGCACGGCAAGAACCTGTACTCAGGAGGCCCAAGGAGCGATAATGTTCCGATCCTTGAAGCTAGAGGTTGATCCAGAGGAGATGGACTGCGCCGTCTTTGGCGGAGTCCCGGCGTATGAGGGGCTGTTCAACCTCTGCTCGGCCCGTTTCCGTGCCATTTTTGCGGGATCAGGTCCGCCAGACGGCTTGGTGGCGCTCTTCGGTATTTGGCCGATGGGGGCATGCATTTTGGCCTGTGCGTTGGGATCACCCATGCTAATGCCTCTCCGTTGGTATTCTTCCTTCTTGAATTGTTTCCAGTCGTGGGCCGATGGTTCGCCAGCACTGAACCACTCTTTTACTTGGCTGAGCCAACGCCCTTTGCCATCCTTTTGTTTTGCCTCTCGGCTCCCAGTCTTGTCCTTGCGACGAGTGCCATCACTGCTTGTAATGGACGGGCTATACTCGGAGATGGAGCGGTTTCTTGAGGCTCGAGACGACGATGGCGCAGGGCTTGCTGCAAACAAGCCCGCACTCTCAATCCTTGCCGGCATGGCGAGACTTTGTGTGTCAACTGTCGTCGCGGAGTGAGGTTCTTTCTTTCCAACTGCTGTACCGAGCTTATCCCACGGCTTGCCCATGAGGTTAGCCGTAGTCTCTGGTGTGATGCTTGTCCTCGTAACTGATCCAGTCGAAACGAAAGAGTGGACAAAGGCAAGTCTGCTGTCCAACGAGTGAACAGACCTATGTCGTGGAGTCGCCGGAAGGTACGACCGCCGCCGAATCTTCTTTTGCTCGAATTCGAGGGGTCGATTATGGAACTGAACAGATGAACTCCGGTGAGACCGAGATAAGAGAGGCTCAGATGAACTCCGACCCTCTAATTCGTGAGGCTCCCAATTTGAGGGCTGCAGATTCGTGGTCTCCTTGCTGGAGAGGCTGCTTCGACGAAACTCGTCCACTGAGGTCGCTTTGTCGGCGCCTTTAAGGGTGTTGTAGTCCACGCCAATGCAGAAAGAGGAATCTAAAGAATGATCCTCTGCTTGTCGGTTCGGCTGTCCAGAAGCTGCCCAGTGCTAGAGGGAGCCGTCAGTGTCAGGCACAGCTGGGATGCGCTGCGTAGGTGGGCACGACGACGAGTTGCAGGCTTGACTGAAGGTGTCCCAAGAAAACGATTGAGGCCTCTGATCAGACTTGGGTGTCGATTTTCGAATATTGAGATGCCCAAGAGTTGTGGGGTACGAGAAATTTCGCAGCGCCGGCTTTTGGGTCGCTGTGCCAGTTTCTAGATTCTCCCGGCTATTGATGTGTGACTTGAAGCGGCCAAATGAAGGCATTGTTTGGTTGACAGTGGAAGTAGATCTGTCTCGATGAATTCGGATGACCGGTGTAGCCAGTAGATGAGGTCTTGCTGTGCGTTGCGCAGGGGTGATGTCAAGATGCAGGCAGGGAACTGCAGTTGAGTGGTCCCAGCTCTTGGGATTCGTCCAAGTGATTACTATATCAGACAGCCATAGCTGAAGAGGGCTTTTCAGTCGTAAGACGGTGTGGTGATACAGGGCGAATTCGACGTCTCGCTGGCGGCGATGAGCTCCAGTGGTGCTGAATACTAGTGTAATGAACCAAGCCAGCACCAGGTCGGTGCGACGAGTGTAACGAAATGCAGAATCAGTAGCCCAGCTCCCAGGAGCACCTGCCTCGGCGAAAGGTATTGAAACGAAGGACAATAGCTTTCAACGCCAACAAAGGATGTCAAACGTCTTCTTTGCTCCCAGTACGCGTCTCTGAAGAAGATCGACAAAGAGAGAGGGGTGGGGGGAGAGGACGACCACGGGCACTACATGTGGCAGTGAGACATGAGGAAAGATGAACCGGGGGAGTGTTCCAACGGCCACGGGAGGCAAGTGGGGAAGCCTAGACTTGATCGGACGGAGAGGAAGTCGCGACTCATCATCTTGACTACCTCCCAGGCACCTTCCCAGGGTCTGTTGAATCACGCAAGCCACAGCTCGGTGTTCTGTGAATCGACTGGTGCGAGACCGATAGGCGGAGCTCGACTACAGAGGATTTGGATGGAGGTGTGAAGTTGCATTGCGCTAAATGGACTGGGGTGGAACGCTCAGCTCTCAAGCCTCGACGCTCAACGCCGAGCTTCCTTGGGGCATCGCAGTTGGTGGCGCTTCCTTGGGCTTGGCTGGCCCATCTCCATTATGCCGAGATCATGTGCCACATATCTGTTACGAAGAAGCCTGGCGTAAGATATGTACATGGGTAGGTGGTCTACATGTAATGTGAATTATGACTTGTGATGAACGTGCATGCATCTTGAGCCAAGAGCAGGCCAGCCGGCAGGCATACTCCCTACAGGGTCTGCTCGTGATCAATACGAGGTCAGATGGCACAAGAAAGAAGGAAAGCTCGCAAACTCAACCTGTAATTGGAGAACGCTCAGGGCAGCAGACGACACCATGCTGATGGGAATCGTACCGATTGACTTGGGCGTGGCCGGCGTGAAATTGAGAGATCGGCCTTGGCAGGCTATCGTCCGACTTGGTCCTGTTCAGCCATTCTTGCGGAACTAGGGCGCGGGTCGTCTTTTTTTTCTGCTTTTCCTCATCTTCCATGTGACGGCCCCATGTCGAGACCTCGCCGCCAGGCATTGACATGTGGGGATGGGCGCCCAAAAAGGCGCCTTCGCTGGCGGGAATTCCGATGGCAAAAACACGCGAAACACCCCGAACAGGCAAACGGCGTACATGTTGTATACGTAGCATAGCGGCTTCGAGATCGAGGCCCTGTGAGGCTGCACTAGGGTCTCGTTGGCTGGTCACGTGGTTGAATACAATATCGGATTAGCCGCTGCCGATCATCCCAATTGTTGGGTTATACCTGATCAGCAAGGTGGCATGCTCTCAACTTGAGTATTGGGGCTTCCATCCGGTAAATTTGTTGGAAACGCCGTGCCCCCAAGCGCTCGCTGCTGGTCTGGCAGACGCAGCCCGCCTTGCCCGCCCACAGGAACGGCATGGGTGGCCCGGGTCTCGTCAAATCTTGCATCGGGAGTCTGTGCAATGCGGGCCATCCTTGTAGTGTGCGTTGCATGGGGCACTGACTACTGGGTTTTGCGCGGCCTGGATTGAGAAGAACATCAAGGATGATAAATTGGACCGGAATTCTGTTGCCGCGTGTTTGTTCAGCTCTTGTTGACGCACTGTGAGCCGCAGCCCCCGTGAACCTTGCTCAATAGACAGTTGAGAATGCTGTACGCTAAACGGATATTTGGTTGAATCACACGTGTTCTGGTCCTGAACGCCTTACCAGACATATGGCCTACTACATGTACTAGCAAGACTAGGTACTATGTACTCCACTAGGGGGATTCAGATGTTGAATCTTTGTCAGCTGACAGAGGTGTGTGTGCAAATGCGCCCTGCCAGTGCGCCAGCCATCGCCATTCAGTGATGACCCAGTGGTCTCGCCCCTGCGCTCAGACCACCCCCACCTCTACACCCCGCCATGCCCGCTTGAAGCCGACGTCGCTCAAGGCCGCCGCACCAACCACCTTCCCTCAACACCACAGACCACTACCCGTTGATACCATGCCTGGCCTCACGATATCCACTGACTCCGTGTCCCCACGCACGACAGCCACACCATTCGAGGCACAACAAGCACATGCCCAGGCTCAGACTCAAGGCCGACCTCAGGCGCAGGCGCCACCGACAGTGCCGTCAACAGCAAACCCATTAGGCAGCGCGCCACAATCACAATCCCGTTCAACCTCGCCAGTGCGGCCCCCAATCAGTCCCATAACACCAACACTCCCCGCGACCGAGCTTCCGCCGCTCCCAAACCCGCAACAACTCCCGCCCCCTGCCTCCTCAGCCGCATCCTTTTCCGCAGGTCGCCAGACATTCACCCACAACCAACCCGTGCCCGACGCCGCAGCGACGGCCATCCCCCCACCGCGCCCCGAACCGATCGACTTTGACGCGAACCCCGACGTCCTGGCCCTCAAGTCCGCCATATCCATCCTGCAGCTCCAGCGCCAGAGGGCGGCCAACGACATACGTGCTCTCGGCGCGGCAAAAGATGCCGCTGCCGCCGATCCCGAAGCGTTCCTCGCCGACCTGACCGCCAACAAGATCCGCGGCCAGCAAGACCCCCTCTTCCCCACGGCGCAGGCGCACGACTCCTCATCCTCCGAGGACGAGAGCGACGATGACGACGACTCTGAAGCCGCGCCTCCAGGCGACGTGCCGCTGACAGGTGGATCCGCCGTCGACGGGGGCCCGCCACGGCAGCCGAAGCCCAAGTCGAAAGCCAAGAGCGCCGAACCGCCGAAGCCGTGGAAGAACCTGCCGCGTCCGCAAAATGTTGTTCGGTGTCCGCCCATCAACTGGGCGCAGTACGCTGTCGTCGGCGACTCGCTCGACAAGCTACATGCCGAGCAGCGGGCCCGCCCGAACCAGGGCCAGCCAGCCGTCGTGGGGTCCGATGGCGCCTTTGAATTCAAAGGCAGCACCGACGGGAATAGGGCGGACTTTGTGGGCGTTGCGGCACCGTATATGCCCGGCCGGGATAAACTGGACACAAAGAAGCCACGGGGTGGCCGGCGCTGAGGAAGGGAGTGGAATCGCAGAAACAGGATATGACGTGGAAAGGCTGTGGAAGAGGCTTCCCTTGCGTGCAGGACACCATATCATGTTGACGATTTCATGTTTGATGGGTTCATGATTAGAGTAGCTGTGACACTATTGTCTTGATTGCATGGCGCTCCCAATGAGCGCGATTTCACCTGCTTTCACCTCGCGCACTCAGCCGCCGTTTGCCCGCCACGTTATCATACAAATTATCCATGTTGTGGTGGAGAATCTAGCTAGTAATCGCAACCTTTCTCCCTGTCCTTCGTGGTATATTACCCCAAGCCTGGTCCAAACGCCTATCATACGAATGCTGGCCTTCGCCTCGGTGTTCCTCATAATGTGTGATGGTCTGCCATTCGCCCTTTGACCATGCAATGCACAAAGCCCCCAACCCAAGTACAAGTTTCCATCCTCCAGAAAGCTGCAGCGTGGCCCCCTAAGATTGAGATTTGCTTCGTGAAACCGCTCAGAAGTCCCTAGACCATGTCAGTTCTGAGGCAGTAGTAGTGTGAGAACATGGGCACTCACTCGGTGCTCTGCTGCACGGATCTCCTCAGACGGCGGTTGTAATTCCTCCTTCCGTCTGCACCACTCCAGTACAGTTGATTGGCCTCAAGGTTTACCAAAGTTCGGGGATCGTAAGCGGGGTCCTCCTCCTCAAGGTTATCAATGACAGCCTCGATATGTGTGAGTACATCTTCTTTCCTCATGGGGTTTGGCGAGTAGCATGCCGTGCCGTCGAGCGCAATGCGATGGTGGAAGATCTTGGTGCTGAACTTGACGCGAGGCTGCTCGTCAGGAAACCTGGGGCTGAAGTGAATCTTGATCTTGAAAAGTCCTCCGTCGAGGTTGGTCATGGGTCTGCCGAAGTATGTGATAACCCACACGAAGGGGTTGTGGTCCTCCAGTTGTATGTCGTGGGGTATGTCCCTACGCTTGAAATTCTGGATGATCTGCTCGAACTGGTGCTGCAGATTCACACTGACGGTAGTATCTCTCCTTTTGGCGTCAAGGCCCTCCCTGGCCCAGTCGTCGAGCTCGGCATCGATGGCTCTCTTGATGTTGTGCAGACGACGCTCAAGCTCGGTATAGTTGAACTTGCCCTCCATGGAATTACTGGAACCTTCGAAAGGCATGCGGACGAAGGGCTGATGATCTTTGACCTCTGCTTTGGCCTTTCGGATGGCTTCCAGATAGGAATCGTAGTACCAGAGAAATCTGCGCTTGCAAAGGTCTTTGAACGGTTCAAAGGGCACTGACGACTCGTCAAGGTCATCCAGGTCTTGCTCAAGGCTATCATGATCGGCCGCGGACTGAGATGCGAGCGCCATGCCGTCTGGGGCGAGGCCGAGATATTGTTCCATACGCTGTATTACTGAGATTCGAAGTGACTCGTGGCGTATCTGCATCCCGTCAGTCTTCCTGTCTCCATGACCAAGCTCACCGGCATTGCTGACCTTTTGCACGTATGCCTCTTGATTCTTCTTGTCAGATGGATCGTTCGCTTCCTCGAATCCAGGCTCGTTCTCGTAAGGATTTCCTGACATCAGGCTCTGGATCGATAGTAGGATTGATTCAAGTCCTTGAGCTGCAGACCACTCCTCGCCCCGTTCTCCACGCCATGTGCTACATCGTCATTAGTTGGTGAAGACAGTGACAGGCAAAGGATGGTTACCCCAAGATAGACCTTGAAAAAATTAGCGAAACAAGTATTTGGTAGATTTAGACCACAACTTACAGGCAGACTTTGCCAGTTGAGTAAATATTTGGGTTAAAGCGACATCGACCTGAGTTGGTTGTGACAGCCGTGACCTGGGGCGACTTGCGCGGATAGTCTAGGCAAGGTATCAGCACTTTACTCGTGCCTCGGCTTTGAGAATGAGAGCTACCCTTGTTGAACTTGAAAGCAAACTTGACAAATGGTTAGTGACGGGGTAAGGCTTGCTTCTTCTTCAACTCTTGAAGAACCCACCTCGAAGAAGCCGAACTCGTACGGAGTATCGGCTGGACCGATAATCATGGCGCGCACGTTACGAACATCGACATCTCTACATGCCACAGCAAGTGCTTCATGATATTGTACGTCAGTCAAATCGTTGGGGATGTTGGGAAGAGGCGTCGCTTCGTACATAGGTCGGAGGATCGCTGGAGATCGCTGAGCTCCTACAGACAGCATGGTCAGCGCCACATGCCCGATGCTAGAATTGACTGATGCGAACCTTTGTAATCCGGATAATCGACTGATCAGCCATGACAAGCGACTTTCAGGGTTTGACGCCCAGTTGTGTCTTCGTCACGCACAGTTGGTTCTGTCCACAGAGGGGGTAGGACCAGGTACTGTATCATGCGTCGCAGTTTGACCCAAGCGTTCGAGATATATCTGTCGCGGAAAGGACGGTCGGTGCCTGGATGGGTATGCAGGCAGCAGCACGGAATGGAAGGTCGTGGCAGGCAAGATGCAACGGGTTGAGTCCAGCGGTAACGGGTTGTAGAGGGAAAACCGTCGAGGCAGGAGCTGTTTGGCGGGGTAGCCGCGGGGCTGACAAGATAGCTTCTTGTTCACACAGGCCTCCAGGTTGCATCGATCAACAGAGTTTTCTCATGAGCCTCGCAAATTAGATCTCATGTAAGTGTAGACTGGAGGAGAAGCTGCTCTCGACAGCCTTCTAGAGACCGAGCCGTGTGTATGCGGAATACGATGAGGCAGACGATAGGATGGTTAAGGTCACATGTTCTACGAGTACCCCACATCCAATTGGTAGAGACGAGACGCAAACGCACGATGCACGGTTGACACGGGCCGTTTGTTACCACTGTGCTCAACAGATGACAGCATTCTATTTCTGGGTCATCAAGGTCTTCCTGGTGGAGGCCTTACCGTGCAAAGCATAGGCTGTTTCTTCTTGTCGCCGATCACAGCCCAGCCTTCAGGGTAGGTACCTCCAGGTAGATACAGCAGGAAGCTTCGGCTCATGAAGTCATTTACTCCAAGGGAAGGACGATACTTTAAGCACCTTGAGGTACTTACCTGTCAGGGTTTACCACACAAACAGCGACTGATTGAGCTGCGTCCTAGTACTGGCCCACCGTACCTAGTAGGTATCTCAACTACGGCGGTACAGTATGGACCCACCTCCGCTTGACGCAGGCATCCACGTCGCTGCCTTGCACCCCAACCCCTGCCACAATCGGTGCATCTCGCGGGGCCAATTGACGCGTAAATGGATTTCTGGCACGCGTCAACTGGGCCAATTCCGACCTACTAGATTTCTATACCATTGCCAGTCTCGCAGATTCTCTTCAGAGACGATACTGAGGATACCACCAAGGACCCCTTCCTGCCTCCCCTTTCCACCAATACAATCACGATGGCTAGCTTCTTCGATCTCAAAGCAAGAAAGCAAGCAGCGGCCAATGGCGCTTCATCCCAAAAGCAGGACAAGTCTTCGCAGCCACCACGAGCGCAACCGTGGGTCGAGAAATAGTACGCGTTGTCCTGAGTTTACGTTTGAAACCCGATACTAATTATTTCCAGCCGTCCGAAGACCCTCAGCGACGTCACGGCCCAGGACCATACTGTGACTATCCTGCAGCGCACTCTGCAAGCCTCCAATGTACGTGACTGAAAGATTCGGAACGCGACGCAATGAGATGCTGACGGCAGAAAGCTTCCACATATGCTGTTCTACGGCCCGCCAGGTACATGAATATGGAACTCCTTCATGCTCGACAGGGGTTGTTAACTGTCATCAGGTACCGGCAAAACCTCGACCATCCTCGCTCTTGCAAAGGAGCTCTACGGCCCCGAACTCATCAAGACTCGCGTCCTCGAGCTGAACGCTTCTGACGAACGAGGTATCTCCATCGTACGCGAGAAGGTCAAAAACTTTGCACGCATGCAATTGACGAATCCGACTGCCGAGTACAAGAAGCGATATCCTTGCCCTCCCTTCAAGATCATCATCCTCGACGAGGCCGATTCAATGACGCAAGACGCGCAAAGCGCTCTGCGTCGTACAATGGAAACATACAGCAAGATCACACGGTTCTGCCTGATCTGCAACTACGTCACACGCATTATTGACCCCCTTGCCAGCCGATGTAGCAAGTTTCGTTTCAAGAGCCTGGACCAGGGGAACGCTAAGCGAAGGCTGGAAGAGATTGCGAAGAATGAGGGTGTCGAGCTCGAAGAAGGTGCTGTTGATGCCCTGATCAAATGCAGCGAGGGTGACTTGCGAAAGGCCATCACGTTTCTGCAAAGTGCCGCGCGACTTGTCGGGGCGACGGAGAATGCCGACGGGGACCAGTCGATGGACGTTGACAAGAAGCCGATTACGGTCAAGATCATTGAAGATATTGCTGGTGTCATCCCCGAGTCAACGATCAACAAATTGACAACTGCAATCCGTCCTCAAAAGTCCGGGGACACGTATCAGAATGTCGCCGGTGTAGTTGAGGAGATGGTGGCCGATGGCTGGAGTGCAGGCCAGGTTGTCTCTCAAGTAGGCCTTCACACCTCCACTTCTAGACCTGCAAAACTGACTCTCAATAGCTCTACCAGCATATCGTTTACGACGAGGCCATTCCTGACGTTCAGAAAAACAAGATAGTTCTCATCTTTTCCGAGGTAGACAAGCGGCTTGTTGACGGTGCAGACGAGCATCTTTCAATCCTTGACCTTTCGCTCAGGATATCGGGAATCATGGCCGGCCGGAGTTAATTGAGATGGTGTTGCATGGACATGCGAGAACAAAACTGGAAGGAGTTGGGGAAACTGGGGATAGTTCACAATTATGAAGGTTGATTTGAAAGCGCTCCATTATCGTCGTGGCGATTTTGTGCTTTCCTTGCTCTATATCAGTCATGTCAACCCATGAGGCCCAGCTTACCATCCAAGACAGCCCAAGGGTTGGCTCGATTACCCCATTTGAATGTGGCAGCATCCGGGTGCTGTCTTGCTCCAGCCTTGCGTGATGGTTCTTCTGTCAACCAAATATCGTCTTCTGTGGTGTCGCCTGTAATCACCCTGTCATGTTCATTGCGTTTTCGTCCAAAGAGCTGTTCAACGTCGTGAAGCGCCTTCATAGACCCCTCGAGTGCTAGGTGCCCTTCTTCGACCTTCTCCGCTACAGTCTCCATCGTGGAGATCTTTGCCGAGTCCGCGGCATACACCCACGGCCTGACTTGACTGACTGTGTCTGGTGTGTCTGACGCAGCTGCTGACATGTGCTCATCAAAGCCCAATTTACCTCTCTTGGCGGCTGGCATGGAGTGGCTTGGAAGAAGTTGGCTTTCCTCAGCCAGGTGAACCAGAATTTGTCTCGTATCTTTGACTTGCTGAGCCAAGATGTTGTTGATATGAGACTTTTGTTGGATCATGCCCTTTTGCTGCCGTGATAGATCGAGAAGGTCCTCTAGGTAGGGAAGCATAATGTGTCCAGCAGATGAAGGTAAGTCTTCCGCCTCTTCCACCCTTGGCGTCTCCGATGTTTGGCTGAGCTTGATGATTGGGCGTGTGCGTTGAGAGGCGAGTGTCAGGAGGGACTTGCGCGTCGCAACGTAGCTTGCATATTTCTCCTTCACCTGAGCAAGTTGCTGCGACAAGTCGACGTCTGCAGAACCAGCTTCGACGCCGTTGTTGGGAGGTTCTCCTAAAGTGTCTTGGTCTGCATCGTCACCAGTTGCCTTGCTAAGCTCGGTCTCGATCCAGTTGATGAGCTCATTCCGTGTAACGTTCAGAGCGTGCAGCCTCGCCATCTCACCGATAGCGTCTTTGCCGGGTTCGACGCGGTCCCGCACCACATTGAGGAGCTTTTCTTCTTGTCGCAGGAGAATCTTAGTGCGCAAAACCACTTTTTCCATCTCGTTGACGACAGCGGCGAGGTCAGCTTTGGCGGCTGTGGTGTCTGTACCGAAACTGTTAACCACTTCGCGGGGCACTTGTGGCAGTTCAATCGAGTCATTGTAAATCTCTTCGAGGTTCAGGAAATCGGGTGATGCTACTGGCTGCTGTGTGAGTGTGTCTAGATGCTTCTGTATCGCTGCGAGCCTTTCATGTTTCTGTTGTAGCTTGATGAGCGCGAGGTGTTCCCGCAAGTGGTCCGCCGAGCTCTGCTGGTGTTTGACTGGAGCCGTGTCGGACAGCGAGGTTTCACTAAGCTGCGCATGTTCCTGGCGTGCTTTGATATTGGCTCGAACTGCCCTTAAGTAATCCCGCTGCAGTCCATGAGTTTCTCGATGATGCTGAACCTGGTCGCTGGCTTGAAGCAGTGACAGCGGGCGCTGTAGTGTGTCGGTCTGGCGTTGCCGTTGTAGATGGAGAGCCAGAACGCGCCTGATGTAAGAGACTTGCTCCCTCGGCTTGATGTAAGGCTCGAGGGTCGACTTTATTTGCTGAATAGCCTCTGGCTCGGTGTTCTGTACCATTCTAATTGACCGTCTCACTGCCAAACTCAGTCGATGGTGATGCGGTAAACAAGGTCCGAGTATTCATCCGATCGTCGACGTGATGAACCAAATGACGAACCTGTAGAGGAAAAGCCGGCAACACCCGTGATACCGTACAGAATATGTCAATAGATCCCAGCATTTAGGTATCCATCGGATTGGCCGCCAGATTGTCAAGGACGTACCATCACATTCACTCTTGTCAACCCTCAGTGAGTGATTGTGGCTTGACTTGTTACCGGAGCACGTGACCTCGCGCGCTGCATACCCCACCAGCCACACCCATCCACTTTCGACCCATCATCCATCTTTTCAGGCTTCTCGACTCGTTACCTGCATTCAACAAGACGTACTACAACGCGCCATTGCTTTTGCCCCAAGCACAACACACTCCGGCGCAAGACGACAAGGGCGCTTTCGACATCGGCCCATGGCAGACGACATCCCACGAATCTAGCCAAGATGTCGGACCAACAGCGCGATGTCTCCCAGTACAAATACTCGGCCATGTCCAACCTGGTTCTCCAGGCGGACAAGCGTTTCGTTTCAAGACGAAATGACGAGTCTACCGGTGACCCCGAGTCGCTGGCTGGGAGACTAAGCATCCGGGATATGGGCAATCGCGTCGCGCGCGACAGCGCACCGAAACAAAAGAAGGCACCTGGTGTCCCTGAAATCGAGCGGGGCAGGGTGCAGGATGGACAGGACGTGCTGCTACGCGAACAACAGAAGAAGAAGGGTGGTGCAGGGCAGATGCGCGGGACCGGCGTCCTGGGGACTGCCGACTTCGCCATCGAGGGAATCACATACAGACCGCGCACGCCAGCAACCCGTGCAACATACGAACTCATTCTCAAAATTGTTGCCGACAACCTCGGCGATGTACCCCAATCGGCAGTTCTGAGCGCAGCAGACGTTATCCTCGAGTTCCTGAAAGACGATGACTTGAAAGACAACGAACGCAAGAAGGAGATCGACGACATGTTGGGTGTCGCGTTGGGCCCAAAGGAGTTCAACGAGATGGTCAACCTTGGCAAGAAGATCACCGATTATGACGCGCAGGACGAAGATGAGGACATGGACGGTGGTGCGGCCGACGGCGCAGATGATGCTGAAATGGACGACCGCCAGGGCGTGGCTGTTGTCTTCGAGGACGAGGACGATGACGAACATGCTGGCATCGCGAACGAGGTCAGGGAAGAGTCATCAGAAGACGAGGAAGCAGACGAAGAGGATGCGGAGGACCAGGACATCCTTGGCGAAGACAAGAAGACCAACCTCGGCGACGACGATGACGAGATGGTGATCGATTCCGCAGGAACCAAGGGCGCGCAAGATGAGAAGGAAGCGACTGTACCGGCACGGGACATCGACGCGTTTTGGCTCCAGCGTCAGATCGGCAAGCTCTACGACGATCATCACGAACAGGTCGACAAGGCTGCGGAATCGCTGCGAATCCTGTCCGGTGAGCCAGATGAAGCGGGAGGCGAGGAGAAGTCACTTCGAGAGATTGAGAACGACTTGATGGAACTTTTCGACTATGAACACCACAACCTTGTCCAACTCCTCATCAAGAATCGGGAAAAGGTCGTCTGGCTAACACGACATGCCAAGGCTGATACAGACGAACAGCGAGCAGCACTGGAGCGCGAGATGGCATCAGAAGGTCTACAGTGGATTCTCAACGAGAAGTACGGTCGAAAAACAGAGGACAAGTCTCGGAAGATGGAGATCAAGATGGATATTGATGTTCCTGCCGGTGTTGCTTCCGGCAAGCCTGCCGAGCCCGAACGCGCCGAAGGTCAGCTCCGCGGGGGACTTCAGCCGCGCAAACTCATCAACTTGGAGAATCTAGTGTTCGACCAGGGCAACCATCTCATGACAAACCCCAAGGTCAGGCTACCTGAAGGGTCAACCAAGAGGACCTTCAAGGGATACGAGGAAATTCACGTACCAGCACCCAAAAAGCATGCCGATCGCAACGAAGTGCTTGTGCCCATCACCGACATGCCGGAATGGTCAAGGGGCCCTTTTGGCACGACAAAGTCACTGAACCGTATCCAGACGAAATGCTTCCCAACAGCTTTTGGAGATGATGGAAACATGCTGATCTGTGCGCCCACTGGTAGTGGCAAAACCAACGTGGCCATGTTGACAATATTGCGCGAGCTCGGCAAACACCGCAATGCCCAAACCGGCGATATCGACTTGGACTCCTTCAAGATTGTGTACATCGCGCCGTTGAAGGCCTTGGTTCAGGAACAGGTGGGAAACTTTGGAAAGCGACTCGAGCCATACGGTGTCAAAGTTTCTGAGTTGACAGGTGACCGTCAACTCACAAAGGCACAGATTGCTGAGACGCAGATCATCGTTACGACACCTGAAAAGTGGGACGTCATCACAAGAAAAGCTACCGACATCAGCTACACCAATCTGGTCCGACTGATCATCATTGATGAGATCCATCTGCTTCACGATGACCGTGGCCCTGTTCTCGAGAGCATCATTAGCAGAACCATCAGGAAAACCGAGCAAACCGGAGAGCCTGTCCGTTTGATCGGCTTGTCTGCAACGCTGCCCAACTACCGAGATGTCGCGAGCTTCCTCCGGGTGGACCCTACGAAGGGACTGTTCCACTTCGACGGCTCTTACCGACCCTGTCCTCTCCGACAGGAGTTCATTGGCGTGACTGATCGCAAGGCAATCAAGCAACTCAAGACGATGAACGACGTCACTTACAACAAAGTCATGGAGCACGTAGGTACCAACCGAAACCAGATGCTCATCTTCGTCCACTCGCGAAAGGAGACTGCCAAGACGGCGAGATATATTCGCGACAAAGCTCTGGAGATGGACACTATCAACAATATTCTTCGTCACGATGCTGGCAGTCGTGAGGTTTTGAATGAAGCTTCGAGCCAGGCGACTGATAAGGAGCTCAAGGACTTGCTTCCTTACGGATTCGGCATCCACCACGCTGGTATGAGCCGAATCGACCGTACTGATGTCGAGGATCTTTTTGCCCGAGGTGCCATTCAAGTCCTCGTCTGTACAGCCACCCTTGCGTGGGGTGTCAACCTTCCCGCACATTCCGTTATCATCAAAGGCACTCAGATCTACTCACCTGAGAAGGGTAGCTGGGTAGAGTTGAGCCCCCAGGATGTCCTGCAGATGCTGGGCCGTGCAGGTCGACCGCAGTTCGACACATATGGCGAGGGCATCATTATCACAACACAGAACGAAATTCAGTATTACCTCTCGCTTCTCAACCAACAACTACCGATCGAAAGTCAAATGGTCAGCAAATTGGTTGACAATCTCAACGCCGAGATTGTTCTAGGCAATGTGCGCTCACGAGATGAAGGTGTTGAGTGGCTCGGCTACAGCTATCTGTTTGTACGCATGCTCCGCTCACCCGGTCTTTACCAAGTTGGTGCCGAATATGAAGACGATGAGGCCCTTGAGCAAAAGAGAGTCGATCTTATCCACTCTGCGGCGTCTGTCCTCCGAAAGTCCAATCTCGTCAAGTATGACGAGAAGACAGGCAAACTTCAAGCTACCGAACTTGGTCGCATTGCGTCTCACTACTACATCACACACGGCTCGATGGAGACCTACAACAACCTCATCCAACCATCCATCACGACTATCGAGCTGTTCCGCGTTTTCTCCTTGAGCGCAGAATTCAAGTACATCCCGGTGCGCCAAGACGAGAAGCTTGAACTCGCGAAACTGTTGGGCCGTGTTCCCATTCCTGTCAAAGAGAGTATCGAGGAGCCGCACGCCAAGATCAACGTTTTACTGCAGGCGTATATTTCTCGACTTAAACTGGATGGTCTTGCACTCATGGCAGACATGGTATACGTGACTCAATCAGCTGGTCGTATCCTCCGCGCTATCTTTGAGATCACGCTGAAGAAGGGATGGGCTTCGGTCTCGAAGACTGCTCTGGATCTCTGCAAAATGGCTGAGAAGCGCATGTGGCCGACGATGTCTCCGCTTCGCCAGTTTCCCTCGTGCCCACGCGAGATTGTGCAGAAGGCCGAGAGGATCGAGGTCTCATGGAGCAGTTATTTTGACCTTGACCCTCCGCGCATGGGCGAGCTCCTGGGCATGCCCAAGGCCGGAAGGACTGTTTGCTCTCTCGTGGCAAAGTTCCCAAGACTCGAACTTCAGGCTCAAGTACAGCCTTTGACACGATCAATGCTGCGCGTCGAGCTGAGCATCACGCCCAACTTCGAGTGGGACGACGATGTCCACGGACCAGCTGAGGGCTTCTGGATTGTTGTGGAAGACTGTGATGGCGAAGACATTCTCTTCCATGATCAGTTCCTTTTGCGTAAGGAGTACGCCGAGTCGGAATCCAACGAGCACATCGTCGACTTTACTGTGCCTATCACGGACCCGATGCCGCCGAACTACTTCATCTCCGTCATTTCTGATCGCTGGATGCACTCCGAGACGAGGCTTCCCGTTTCGTTCCACAAGCTTATTCTTCCTGAGAGGTTCCCACCTCACACGGAACTGCTAGACCTTCAGCCACTGCCAGTGTCAGCTTTGAAGGTCAAGGAGTACGCAAACCTGTATCCTGACTGGAGCCACTTCAACCGCATCCAAACGCAGTCTTTCAAATCCCTTTACGACGGCGACCAAAACGTCTTTGTTGGTGCCCCTACAGGCAGTGGAAAGACTGTCTGCGCAGAGTTCGCGTTGTTGCGCCACTGGTCGAAGAAGGTAGACTCCGAGGAGCAAGGCGGCGCTGCTGTGTACATTGCCCCATACCAAGAGCTCGTTGATGTTCGCCTCGAGGACTGGCGCAAGAAACTTGGGTCCCTGCGCGGCGGCAAGACTATCGAAAAGTTGACGGGCGAGACGGCGACTGACCTTAAGATCCTGAAGACTAGCGACCTGATCCTCGCCACCCCTATTCAATGGGATGTTCTCTCTCGCCAGTGGAAGCGTCGCGCCGAGGTTCAAAAGGTTGCGCTGTTCATTGCCGACGAGATTCACCTTCTCGGCGGCTCCATGGGCTATATCTACGAAGTTATCGTTTCGAGGATGCACTACATCAGGATGCAGACCGAGCTTCCCATGCGAATCGTCGCACTCAGTGTCTCCCTCGCCAACGCTAGGGATCTGGGCGAGTGGATTGATGCAAAGAAGCACGACATTTACAACTTCAGCCCGCATGTCCGCCCGGTTCCCCTCGAACTTCACATACAGTCCTTCAACACACCCCATTTCCCGTCGCTGATGCTGGCTATGGCCAAGCCCACCTACCTGGCCATTAACCAGATGTCTGCCGACAAGCCTGCGATCGTCTTTGTTCCGAGCCGCAAGCAAACGAGAGCCACGACGCGCGATCTGCTTGCCGCTTGCTTCGCGGACGATGACGAAGATCGATTCCTGCACGCCGATGCCGAACAGATGAAGCCCCTCCTTGACAAGATTGATGAAGAGGCCCTTGCCGAAGCCCTCTCTCATGGCATCGGCTACTACCATGAGGCTCTCAGCCTCAGCGACAAGCGCATTGTGAAGCATCTTTACAACCACGGTGCCATTCAAGTGTTGGTAGCGTCAAGGGATGTCTGCTGGGAGCTCAGCTGCACCGCCCACCTGGTCATTGTCATGGGTACTCAGTACTTCGAAGGTCGCGAACATCGATATGTCGACTACTCTCTAAGTGAAGTTTTACACATGTTTGGCAAGGCGCTTCAACCTTCCAAGGATGGCAGAGGTCGTGGCGTACTCATGGTACCAGGTGTGAAGCGTGAGTTCTATAAGAAGTTCCTCAACGAAGCTCTGCCGGTTGAGTCTCATCTCCACAACTACCTCCACGACGCCTTCGTTACAGAGATTAGCACCAGGCTGATCACGAATGGCGAGGATGCAATCAACTGGACGACGTTCACCTACTTCTACCGCAGGCTTTTGGCCAACCCCAGCTTCTACAACCTGACAGACACTACGCAAGACGGTCTCAACGATTACATGTCTGACCTGATCCAGACGACGCTCACGGAGCTTCAAGACTCCAAGATCATCGAGTTGGACGACGACGATGGTTCGGTCCTGCCGCAGAACGCTGCCATGATCGCGGCATACTACAACATCTCGTACATAACGATGCAAACATTTTTGCTGTCACTCAGCGCGAGGACAAAGCTCAAGGGCATCCTCGAGATTATCACGTCGGCCACAGAGTTCGAAACGATTCAAATCAGGCGGCACGAAGATGGCATCTTGCGCCGTATCTACGACCGAGTGCCGGTCAAGATGTCGCAGCCGGCTTATGATTCGCCCCATTTCAAGGCATTCGTGCTGCTCCAGGCGCACTTCTCGAGGATGCAGCTGCCTATTGACTTGTCCAAGGACCAGGAAATCATTGTTTCCAAGGTCCTCAGCCTGCTCAGTGCCACGGTCGACGTCTTATCGTCAGACGGACACCTCAACGCCATGAGCGCCATGGAGATGTCTCAAATGGTTGTCCAAGGCATGTGGGACCGAGACAGCCCTCTGAAGCAGATTCCTCACTTCTCGCCCGAGGTTGTCAAGGCGGCGAACGAGTTTGGGTACGTACCGGCGGCTAAGTCTGGCCATGGAATAGAAGCTAACCACCGTTGTTTTGGCAGAATCAAGGACATCTTCGACTTTATGGAGGCCATGAACCCAGACGAGAACGCCGACTACGCGGCGCTCGTCAAGCGGCTTGGTCTCTCGCAGGCGCAGCTGGCCCAGGCGGCGAACTTTACCAACGACAAGTACCCCGATATCGAGATGGAGCACGAGATTGTGGACGCCGACGAGATTCAAGCAGGCGAGCCCTCGCAGATCAACGTGACGATCCAGCGGCAGCTGGAAGAGGACGACGAGTTCGATCCGACGGTCCACGCGCCGTTCTACCCGTCGAAGAAGCTCGAGAGCTGGTGGCTCGTCGTCGGCGAAGACAGCACCAAGAGCGTGCTCGGCATCAAGCGCGTGACAGTCGGGCGATCGTTCACCGGCAAGCTCGAGTTCATCGTGCCGACGGCGGGCAAGCACGACCTCAAGCTCTTCCTCATGAGCGACAGCTACGCGGGTGTGGACCAGGAGCGCGAGTTCTCCGTCGTTGCCGCCGAGAGCATGGACGTGGACGACAGCGAGGAGGAGGAGGATGACGAATAGACGAAGAAGCAGCGAAGGGAGGGGTGACGAGGAGAGGAAGAATGAGGAGAGGAAGAGGCAGAAGACGGCAAGACGGAAAATGTCACGACTTGGCGCCTTGGTTTTGGCCAATGTACAGTAAAGAGGACGGTGGACGGAGGACGGCAGGGTAATTTCAGCAGTGGCAAGTTTGGTCAAATGTCAATTCTGCGTTTTCTATTCCGAAGAGCACACGGGCATCTTCTGATGCACGAGAGCGGTTGTGGCGTCTAAAGGCCAGTTGTGCAGGTTCTGGGTCGTGTACTGGTGGGCTGGGAGGGATGGCTGACGGGAGGATTGCTCAAGGGCGAGTTTCGGGGATCCTTCCACCCACGACGACCACCACACCACAAAAGGGTGAGGGGTGGGTGACGACATGGCAGCACAATTGTTCTTCAACCCCCAGCCACCCACTCTGCCACGCATCAGCCCAACACGACCGACAGGCCGGCAGGGTGCCCATCTCCATGGCAGGTCCCATCTCCATGGCAAGGTCCCTGCTCCATGGCAAGGTCTCTGCTCCATGGCAAGGAAGGGCAGAGAGAGGTTCTTGCTCGCTCCTTGTCTCTCTTCGTACGAAACCTTTTCGAGTGGATCCGCAAGAAACGCAAGACTGTGTTGTGCAATCCAATTGGTCACGTGTCGTTGCCTTGTTGCCGTCATGCCTCCACCACGTTCGCGTCAGGTAAGAGGCCAAGCAGAGCGACGAGGACGAGGTGAGAGAAGGAGGAGAGGAAGACACTCAGCAGCCCCAGCCCGTGCTCATGCTCGTGGTGCTAGGTACCTACGTATACTATGTACCTACGGCAAAAGGTAGCTCACCTAAGGTAGCTCCGTCTGGCTTACTCGCTGGCTGGCCGGCTGCTCTCTCAGGTCTCTCTCGCTCGTGTCTCTTGTCTCCAAGACCTGAGTTTCCTAGCCCGATCCAGGTTCAATGCCATCCATGCCATCCAATCCGCCCCCCCAAGTCCAGTCCAGTCCAATCCAATCCAATCCAAACCAACCCAGCCCACCTCTCTCTCCCACCCCCCGGTTGCCTTTTTCTCGTCTGCCACTCCTCGCACCACATCTTTGACGTCGCAACACACGAAGGTGACCGCCCATCCATTGCCAACAACCATCAGATTCGCGCCTTCTTTTCATCAGGCGCATCATCTCGACTCTACTCAACACGTACCTCGCGTCCAATAACGCGTCCCAATTTCTTTGTCCACTTTCCAAAACCCTTTCGGCTCTTCCAAGTCGCGCCTCGACACTTGTCATCACCAATCCTGTCACGCCTTTCGTAACGCGCGCCACAATCTACGCTTCTTTATTCTCTCTCTCTCCTCAGGCACACATAATCACGCGCATCATCATGTCTGACGACGCCGCCGGCGCGCCCGCGACTGCTCCCGAGCAGGTCGAGAAGAAGGAGGAGGCTGCCACCACTGTGGTCCACGCGACCGAAGACTCTGTCGACAAGCCTGTCGCATCCGACGAGACTGTCGAAGCCCCCGCTGCTGCCGCGTCAGAGGACAGCGAGGCCAAGAAGTCCGCGGCGGAGAGCGCAGAAGCTGCTGCGGCACCGGATAGCGACGGCGCCCCCGCCGCCGAGGCTGACGCGAAGGCGTCCGAGGGTATGTTGACGACACTGTCCACCTGCACGTCACCATCGCGTGCCGCGTCAATTCGGCTTGCTGACTCGTTGTACCAGGGGATGCCAAGGATTCTGAGGCGAAGCCCAGCGATGCTGCCAGCGCGCAAGACAAAGACGACAAGGATAACGATGCCGAAATGAAGGATGCTGATGCCACCGCTGCCGCCGACGATGATGACTCGGCCGCGGCCGCTGCCGACGAGTCGGCCGTGCTCGACACCCCCGCCGGCGACAAGTCCAAGGGCCGTCGCAAGTCCACCTCGGCTGCCGAGGCCAAGGGCAAGAAGCTCAACAAGAAGGGCTCCAAGGCCAGGATCTTGCACCTCGACGCGAAGCCCGGCGAGCACTACCTCGTCAAGCTCAAGGGCCACCCTCAATGGCCCGTCATCATTGCCGACGAGGACATGCTGCCCCCTAGCCTCACCGAGCCCAAGCGTCCCGTGACCTGCCTGCAGGCGGACGGCACCTATCGCGAGGACTTTGCCGACGGCGGCAAGCGCGTCGCTGACCGTACTTTCCCCGTCATGTACCTCCACACCAACGAATTGTGAGTCCTTACCATCGCCCCTGGCCCTGAGCCTCCCTCTCCGAGGTGGAGCCTCTGCGAGGAGACAATTGCATGTCCCGTTGTACTAACCGTCATTGTTCGCCAGCTCCTACGTGCCCAACTCGTTCCTTCAGGAGCTCTCGAGTGAGCTCGCCACCGAGATGCTCGAGAAGAAGATCAAAAACAAGAAGCTCGAGGCAGCCTTCGAACTTGCCGTCGAGCAAAACTCGCTCGAGTTTTACAAGGACCTGCTGAACGAGCACGCCGCTGAGCTCGCTGCCAAGGAGGCTGCCGCCGAAGATGCCGCCGCCGCTGCCGCCAGCAAGAAGAAGAAGCGAGCCTCCATTGCGGCGGTCGAGACGGAGGATGTCGACATGGCCGATGCCTACGACGAGGAGGTTGAGGATGTCGAAGTCCCCGCCAAGTCGAAGTCCAGCAAGAAGCGCAAGGCCGAGGAGGCGGCGGTAAGCAACAGAGAGCAGATGACGTGTCCATCGAATCGTGCGCTGACCCCGAGAACAGACTCCCCAGCGATCGGATTCGGCTAAGAAGCCCAAGATCAAGCTCACCACGTCCTCCACGCCCAAGGCCACCAATGGGACGTCGACGCCCAAGGCGGCAAAGGAGTCTGCTGCCAAGCCGGCAAAGACCAAGTCCAAGAAGGACGGCGCTGAGAAGAAGGCGGAGAAGGAGACACCCAAAGAGCCGGAGCTGAGTGCGGAAGAGAAGCACCAACGCAAGGAAGTATGTTGTCCGGCGCCAGCCCCCCCTCCCGCTAGACCAAATCACTGACAGTCACGGCAGCGTGAGGTTCTCTTCCTCCGTCACAAGCTCCAGAAGGGCCTCCTCACCCGCGAGCAGATCCCCCAAGGAGGACGAGATGAAGATGATGTCCGAGTATATCAGCAAGCTGGAGAGCTTCCCCGACCTCGAGGTCTCGATCATCCGGGCGACCAAGATCAACAAGGTGCTCAAGGCGATCCTCAAGCTCGACTCTATCCCTAAGGAGGCCGAGTTCAACTTCAAGTCTCGCTCCCAGGCGTTGCTGGACAAGTGGACCAAGATTCTCAGCACCGTGGACGGTGTTGCCGCCCCGTCGACAGCCAACGGAGTCAACGGCAACACGGAGAAGAAGACGGAGCCGAACGGCATCAAGGACGAGGCCAAGGTGGACGCCAAGTCGGAGGAGGCGGCCGAGGCGAAGAAGTCGACACCCGAGGCGACCGAGGAGACTGAGGCGAAGCCAGAGGGAACGCCAGAGAAGACAGCCAATGCCGTAAGTAGTATGCGTCGCCCACGTGAACGAATGCGGGAACTGACTAGATCCCTAGGATGTTGCAGCAGAGGCAACCAAGGAGGTCGAGACGGAGGCGTGAAAGCGTGGCGCACGTTGACGGGTCTTGAATCTGACGACAGCAGCAACAACAACAACATCATCCGGGCAGCCGGACGGCTCCTGCCAAGCCATTGTGGCTATAGTGCTGGACGCGTCGTGCTCCGTCGGCGTACATGAAGAGATGGGATCGCAAAAAGTGGCTTTGTTTCTCTCGCTTTGGGGGAGGGAGGCGTATGTCGGGAGTTTGTAACAACTATTGTGTTTTTTTTTTCTTGACTGCTTCTTCATTTCCTTGACAGGGGCCGCGCTGCTGGAACGAAAGAGAGAGGACGGGCCGGTTGTTAGGGCGACGGGTGAAGCCTCGAATCAACATTCTTCCTTGTGCACTCCAGCGCAAGAGGTCCATCTATGACCCTTGGGAGACTATGGATGGATGGATGGCAAGCGGCCAGGAACAAGCAGGTGCAGGCCCCGTGTGTACAGAGTCTTCATGCCGAGATACGAACAGGAGTGTGCAAAGCAGGACGAATCAGAAGGGGGAGGGATTTTCAGTGGTATTCTCTTGACCCATCCAAGGTTCTTCTCTTTGCGAATCGGTCTGGGGCTGATTTGGGCTTGGAGAGCACGCAGAGCTGGAGAGGGACGAGAGGGAGAGAAGTTCCCATCATGACCATCTGACTCGAAGAGAGAGAGAGAGAGAGAGAGAGAGAGAGAGGGGGGGGGGGGAGGGATTTGGACCTTTTTCACGAGTCTTGAGATTGCAACCATATAGCTATGAAATCGATGCATTCATTAGAATTGGGCTTTATTCTGAGGCTATTCAGCTCACCGAATTGGTGTCGTCGAGATGGGCATCCGCCGCTGGCCAGAGTGATTGAAGAAAGAGAGGAACCTATCCGAGGCTCAACGAACTATCCTGATGGAAGCCTACTGCTGGATGTCTCGATGCAACTCATCTTGACAGTTGGCGCAAACTGATATGGGCCATGTTGAGCAGGGAATTGTCGAGCAGGAAGGAGCTCAGGGGTCGCGAGGCAAGGGGAAAATACAGTGCCAATCCAGTGACGTAAACTGTGCACCTCGAGTCTGTGCTTCTACACGCGCCTCAACCGCGTCTCATCTCAACCCTTCCATTAAACGTCAACGGTCACCATCGACGGACTACTTTCAGCTCATCCATCCAACTTTTGCCCGCCATGGCCGACACAGCCATACCAGATCCGCATTTCCAGCAGGAAGACCACCAGGCTGCCTACGTCTTCCGGCCCCGAGACGAGGGCGCCTCAGCCGAGCGGGCCCCCAAGCGCCGGCGCACCTCGAAGAAGGCCTCTGCGCTCCGAGCCGAGCACGCGCACGCCGCCGACGACGGCAGCAGGCCCGACCCTCGGCAGGCCGAGAACGCAGAGGACGACCCCTCGTGGTTCGTGCCGCTGCTGAACGGGGCCGAGGCGCCCGCCTGCGTGCGCCTCCGCGAGAGGCTCTTCCGGTCGAGCTGGCGGGGCATCGAGGCGCGGGTGCAGACCATCCTGCGCGACGCCAACTCGGCGACGCTGGGGCAGGTGGCCGACTTTGCCTGGGGGCGGCACGCGGGGGGCGCCGAGGCGGATGGAGACCGCCGCCGCGTGCCGGCTGCGTTCATCATGACGGGCGCCAACATTGCGTCGCAGGACCTGCTGTTTCGGCAGCTCGGCGCGAGGCTCGAGGGCGGCGAGCCGAGGAGCAGGGTTGTCAGGCTGCGGTCGGCTGAGGTCGGCAACCTCAAGGCGGCGCTGAAAAAGGTTGTCAGGGATGCGACGGCGCGCGATGACGAGGGGGACGACGATGGCGAGGTGTCTTTTGGGCAGGGGGTGAGTCTCGGCCGCTCTGTGCTTTTTTTTTGCTTCAGTCTTTGTATCTTTTTTTCGAGCGTGCGCTAACGTGGACAGGGCCGGAAATATCTCAACTATGACCTCGAGGGCTTGGCTGCGTTTGTCAAGGCACACGGGTGCCGTCACGTCTTCGTTGCCTTCCAGGACAGCGAGGGTTTCGACGGCGGTCTGCTGTCGGATCTGATTGTGCTTTTCAGGTGAGCAAGAATTGTCAAGACAGTGCATCTCCGCTAACGACCTGCGCAGCTCGTGGCTCGCGGACATCCCCTTTACTTTGCTGTTTGGCGTGGCGACGTCGGTCGAGCTGTTCCAGGCGCGGCTTCTCAAATCGACGTGCCGGCTCTTGTACGGTGCGCAGTTCGATGTCGTCCAGACGTCGACCATCCTCGAGCAGATCTTCAAGCCTTCTGTTGCCGGAGCAGACGTCTCCTTACGTCTGGGTCCGTCGCTTCTGCAGCATTTCATTGACAGGCAGCATGATCAGGTCACCGGTATCGAGTCGTTTTTGAGCTCACTCAAGTACGCATACATGTGTCACTTTTACGCCAACCCCTTAAGTATCTTTGCCGTCGAGGACAATGAACTGAACAGCGAGCTCGTTCAACCCGAGCATCTCGAGGCGTTCCGCTCACTACCCTCGTTCCGCCGCCATGTCGAAGACGCCGTCGAGACGGGCGACCTCGCATTTGCCAAGTCGGCCCTTCAAGACGATGCGTTTCTGTATGAGCAAATCTTCGACATTCCGAGCAAGCGGAGAGCCTGGTCAGCTCGGCTCCTCCGGTCCCTGGCTCTGCTCAAGAGCACAGGCGCCAACCAGGAGACCTTTTCACAGCTGTATCTAAAAGCCGTCGCCGAAGGCATCGACCTCGCGTCGGTGGACATCGGCATCCTGTCCAACGTCAAACGTCTGCAACCGGCCGACTTTATAAGCATGTTAGAGAGCCTGCTCCAGACGCTAGGACAGGGCGACAAAGACCTCGGGCTCGAGGAATGGAAAAGCGAGTCCAAAGAGGCGCAAGACTTGGCGTCCTCCCTCGAAGCCTGCCTTTCAGAATCCCGCGAGCTCCTGTCGGCGGCGCAGAGGGACGGCAACACGCTGCGCAGCTCCTACAGCGGCAGCAGCAGGATCCTGCGCACGACGGTCGTCGCGCAAAAGGTGCAGCTGAGCCGCGACTCGGCGGCGCTGTCGGACGCCGACAAGGCCTTTACCAAGGTCGTCGACAGTGTCGCGTCGCTGCTGCAGGGCGCGGCGCACTGCGAGCCGGCGACCGACGGCTTCCTGCACGAGGCGTGGCTGTACGAGTCCAAGATGCCGTACCGCGACGTCTTTGTGCCGCGGCCGCGGGTCGTCTTTGAGAGGAGCCTCATGCGACCCCATGACTATCTTGCGTGCGACTGCTGCCGGGGCCACGGCGACGGCATCTCGACGACGCTGCCCGTGACCTCGCTGTTGTACCATCTGTACCTCGAGGGCGGCAGCCTCATCAACGTCGCCGACCTGTGGGCGGCGTTCTTCGCCATGATTGGCGACGAGGCCGACGAGGGCGAGACCGTCGAAGGTCCTGGGCCGGCAGCTGCAGCTGAAGACGCAGCTGGCGCTCGAGCTGGCGGGGGCCACAGCGAGAGGGTCGCGCTGGTCTTGTTCTACCAGGGCCTGGCCGAGCTCAAAGCACTGGGCTTTGTCAAGGCTAGCAGAAAGAAGGTCGACCACATTGCGAAGCTGAAATGGCTATGATCCCATCTCGGGGGGCGGGCTTCGTTTGTGGGGCGAGGCGTCCTTTGTGACAAGATCCAGGGAGGAACAATGGATGCGAGAAGCACGCGACGTTGAGAGGTGCCTGGTCCCAAGGGACTGGGTCTTTTGGAGGTTTTCGAGTCGGACCTGGATCTGGACCTGGGCCTCGACAGGAGTCTAGAAGCCTCCTGTCAATAAGGGCGACGAGGCTAAGGGGGCTGCGTTAGACTTTCCGGGGACAGCCTCGTAGACCGCTGGCATCCGGTCTGGGACTGGTTGATTCCAGGCGTTCGGATCGCGAGGCACCGAGAGCGAGGAGCGTCCCCTCCTGTTTCTTTCGCCTTTCATCTTTCATCTTTCACCTATAATCCTCGGGGGCTCCTCCCAGATGCTTTGCTAGCTAGGCCACTCCTGAGTCAGTAATATCCGATAATGCATGAGAAAGGACAACTGGGGCCTTGAAGGGTCTTGAAGGGCCTTGAAGGGTCTTGAGGGGCCTTGAGGGGCCTTGAGGGGCCTTGAGGGGCCTTGAGGGGCATCGAGGGGCCTTGAAGGGCTTTGTCGCTCGGTCGGAACAACGGACTTGTGTGTTGTTCAAGCCGCCACGAAATGGCAAATCGGCATTCCAGCAGCACTCAAGTCGGGCTGGTTCCCTCGCGCCAAGAATGATGATGGCATCGCCGACGCCAACCACCTGCAGTCGCCGTCATGTCACAGATGGGGCGCCCCTCTTCCAACTTCATCTTAATCTCCGTCAGAATCACACCAAAAGATCAAAGACTCGGGGGTTTTTTTTTTCAGCAGCATGGGCCCGAGGGCAGCAGAAATGTCATCTTTGTGTGTCTCGGGGGCCATTCTACATGCGGCGGGGGAACCCACCACGCTTGTCGCCAGTCGGTGATGATGTCTCACCACAGACACAAAGAAAACCCCTCGAACCACGAGGGAGGCGTACATCCCGAGAACCTGGCTCGCCATGGACGGCGCTCTCGCTCTGACGAGCTCTCTGTCCTGCCATCCGGTCTGCTGTCAATACGGCCGCTTTCTTCTTCCGGGTCTCCCTCATCGCAGTTTCGTTCGAAGAATGTCACGAACAGTTCACGAAGGAAGGGGGGGGGGGGGGGACAGAAGAGCTTACACGCCTTCGCTTGCCTTGCCTCATTGACCTAGGTGCCGTACTCTGTCTCGCCTGACGTCGTAGCGTCTATTGATCTAGTGCGCCTCGCAACCGGGCCTGCCCACCATTGACCCTGGCCTTCTGGGCTGAAGCGACCACCTGGAACAAGCGCGGCGTTCATTTACCCTCATGCGGCGGCTCGGTCTCGTCACCTTCTGCTCCATGCTCCCATGCCCCATGCCCCATGCCTCCGTCGCCCCCGTCGCCCCCGTCGCCCCCGTCGCCCTCGTCGTGCCCCGTCTGTCGGTGAGTGCCGTGCTCATGTGGGCGCGGGCTGGCGGGCTGGCTCGTTGGTGAATTGATCCTACCTGACGCGATGGTGATTCTCTTTCTCTTGGCCCGCTTTGCCAGCGGCGCGGGACCTGCTGTCCCCTTTCCTGCTACTGGGGTGGGCACGCCCCTTTGGCGTGGTGTCTTGGAATTGGCGTCAAAGGATCGTCGAAGACACACACACACCTAGACATGCACACACGCAGACACCACGCCCCCCTCCCCTCCCCTTCTCCCCTTCTCCCCTCCACCTCGGGTGCTGCGTTTCCTTTCGAGGCATACAAGAAGGACGCCGGCGCGCACTTTCCTTTGACAAGAGCTGAAGGTGAAAGGTGGTGTTCTCGGTTCCTGGATGATCTAAGCCTTGTATACATATTCCATTGCTGTCCTTCTCGCCTTATACCCCCCAAGTATCCCTCTTAGACCAGTATCTCACCTACCTTTTTGGCAACGTACCACCTGGATTTAAATACCCTCTGAGCAAGACTCCTCTGCCGTCCTCTCAAGATTGCCCTTGCGAACAACAGCTTCTTACCGGGAAGGATTTGGAAAGGACAAGAAACGTTGACTGGTCTGCTTCTCCTCACTCACTCAACCTCGCTCTCCCTCTCACGCATCACGGGTCACGGATGCGAAACAAGCAAACCTCATTCTCAACGGCTACACAAAACGACACCACTCATTCGGACTCCCGAACCCACGAAACTGGGGGCGCGCAAACCACACAGCTGCCCAGAAAGAAAAGCAAACCTGATCCTCTTCAGCAGCAGCTTCAGCAGCAGCTTCAGCAGCAGATAGAAGGAGGGATCGTCGCCTTCTAGAAAACCACGCGGGACCCAACGCACCAAGCTATCTGCCACTGCCAGCCTGTCACGCCTCTTGGCCTTCAATCTCCGACCTAAGACATCCTGCAACGGCCATCACATCACCACGCATCACTACCTGGCAAGAACGCAGGAAAAAAAAAGGAAACGAAAGAGGGTAGAAGAAAAAGAAAAATAACGAATTAGCGAACCCCCCCCCTTTACCCCGTTCAGCAATGTCCACCAGCCGACCAAACGCCCGCGGCCGCTCCCCTTCTCGAAGCGGCCGTGGCAGCAACGCCAGCAGCGGCACCTCGACACGAGCAAGGGCCAGCACCAGCACGGCCAGCACGAGCACGAGCACCAGCACGAGCACCAGCACCAGCGCCCGCACAAACCCCAGCGCCGGCCCCGGCGGCATCATCGCCCGCCGCGCCGCCCGCTCGCCGGCCTTCCGCGAGAAGCTCCGCCAGATGGCCCTCGACCTGCAGCCCCTCGTCCAGGTCACGACGGGCAACGTCCACCCGTCCTTCCCGCGCACGCTGCTGGGCTTCTGGCTGCTCACCGAGCCCGAGCTCGACGAGATGGCCCGCTTCTACCACCAGCGCACCCCCGGCCCGCACTCGGCCAAGTATCCCTGCCCCATCACCTGGGGGCCCAACCTCACTCTGGACGAGAAGAGGAGGAAGATTGGCAAGTTCATCGGCCTCAGGTACGTTCCTTGCGTTGCTCTTCTGCCCTCTCTTCCTTGACGGGCAGAAGTCCAAGTAAAAAGAGAAATGAAAAAAAAAAAAACTGACTGTTGCAGTAGGGGTTGCCTGACCCCCATCGCCGTCCGCTCCTCGCCCCAAAAGCCCTTGGGCCCCTCACCAGCTCTGCGTCCCAGTTGGTTCAAGACGGAAGAGCAGATTGAGGAGGACGCGAGGAAGGCGCGCGTCGCTGCCGATGAGGACGACGCCATGAAGAAGAAGCTGCACTGGTATGTGTGAGACTTGGGCCTTCATCCATTCGCAGGACAACCGCCTCTTCCTCGGGGCAAACCACCCTTTTTCCTTCCATGAGAAACATGAATCGGAGCGTGGAGTTTACGGTGCCAGGAGGGGAGGGAGACATCTTTTTGGGCATATTTTCTTTCCTACTTGATTGGCTACTTTTTTTCAACTTGATTGGCTTCCTTCTTTTTTTCAACTACATAGGACTGATCTCGGGGATCTGGTTGCATTTACAACTGCAGAGCACGACGGGGGAAGAGAAGCGGAGGCTTTCAGCATACCCGGCAACGGACCTGACTGCATCGGTGGCCCGTTTATCCATATCCATAGAATCACGGAGTTCCAGGCGGGGGGCGGCATAGCACGCATGGCAGCGCGACTCGCGTCACGTTTTGCTGCGAAGCATTTTGCATCAATCATCGTTATTTTCACGAGAATTATTCTTTCATTTGATTTTTTTTCATTTGATTATAAAACCTAATCAATGAGTACTTCCCGTGCCTGGTCTGGGTGACCATCCAGACAGACCCTCTGAACGCCGAGCAAAGTGAGAAAGCCCTAGAGGAGCACCGGGCTGGTATGAGATGCCGGGGGCTCAGACCGAGCCGAGAGTGAAGACTGCAGACTGTACAGCATGCGGGTTGTTGTGGGTGTGATGAGCGCCTGACGGTGGTGAGATGGGCGGGGAGGATATATAATGGGTGGCTCAGGCGGAATCGTACGACGGGAGCAAGAGGCGGGACCATCGAGACAGACACCCGTTTACGCCTCGATCTTCTTCTTGTCCACCAGCACGGCGTCGCCATCGACACTGGGCGGGTTCGTCGAGTCGGCCTTCTCGGCGTCGAGCTCCTTCATAAAGTCGGCCTGAATGGTACCCCTGCGCTTCTCCCACCACTCCTTCTCGGCGTCGACCTGGTCCTGGATCTCGTCGAGGCGGGTGCGTACCACCGTGTTGGCGGCAATCTCGTTGGCGGACTGGAAGATGATCTGGCCCCAGTTGGGCGCGAGGGCGTTGGCCTGCGGCGAGGAGACACACAAATGTTAGCGGACAGACTCTGGTACCTGCATCCCTCGCGAGAAAACGTACCTCCATGACGACGTCCCTAAGTTCGTCCTCCATCTCCTTCTCGGCGCGCTGGAACCGCTGCCACAGATCGTCGCCGACGCTGCCCTTTTGTAGTAGCGAGCTGCACGCCTGCTTCGCCGTCCTGATCTGCACGAGCCTGTGGATGTCCTCGACGGCGCGCCGCAGCAGCGCCGCCCTGATGACGCTGTCGGGGATCCGGGGGCCCTTCTCGGAGGGGTCCTCGGGGTTGATGTGCAGCAGGGAGAGGTAGATGTTGCGCTGGAGGTGCGGGCCGAACCATGGCGCCAGGTTCGCGCTCTGGGCTAGAGAGAAGGGGAAAAAGGTGAAGTCAGAACGGCTGCGGGCACACTATGCAGGAAGAAGGGCCTCATGGCAACGTACCGGCCTTGCGCTTGCGGTAAATGTTGGAAAAGGTGAAGAGGGCGCTGCCGAGGACGAGAACGTAGGCGGCAGGGAGCACGAGGCTCACCCAGTCGACTTCGGGGATGCCAAAGCTGACCATGGCTGTGGTTTCGAGTGGGCGAGGACGAATGCGTTTGCTGCAGAGTGGCCGACGTCTAGCAGAGAGAGGCAAGCGAAGGTCGTGGTCGTGGTCGTGGTCGTGGTCGTGCGCGTAAGGAGTGTCGCGAGGGTTCAAAGATGCCAGCTTGGGGGAAAGTGACCCTTGTCCGTTTGACGTGATGCAACTTGTACTTTTCGAGTTGAGGTCAAGCAGAGATGTGGCTCGATTGCGGGTTCGTCGGCTTATCTAATCTACCTGATGTAAGGTACTCACCTTCGGTACCTCCTTCGGTACCTCTTTCGGTACCTCTTTAGGTACCTCTTTAGGTACCTCCCTGGGTACCTAGTAGGCTGGGAGGCCCACTGCGATTCCGCCCCCCCGCGTCTAGGGATCCACTCGTGCTGGAGGCAGCTTCTGATGACGCTGGACCTAACGACCCGGAGGCTCTTGCATTTGTGAGCACAGCGCTGGTACCACTACCACCACCAAACAACTTACCCAGAGCTTCGAAACCGTCTTTAAGCTTCCACCTACCAAGCTACCTACCCAGAAAGGCCCTTCTACAAAGAACTCCAAGTCCCTGGCCCGTCATTATTCGAACCTGCAGCCTCCAAACCCTGGATCTATTTGTCCCTGCATTTTCGCATCCCACCGCTCCCGAACCCTGCTGTTCACCCACCACCTTGACCACCAAAGCACGAACCAGACCCTGTCTCGCGTACCGACATCGACACCCCTAGCCTGCAGCAGGAAGCCATACCGCCATGTTACTGAGAGTCCGTGGTCCGGATGGCATGACCCGTCTGACCCTTGACCAGAACGACAACTTTGGAGATCTCGGCCGCCAGCTTCTTCCCAACCTCCCCACCACTGTCGACCCCACGACCATTACCCTCTCCAACAACCCCAACGGCAACGATTCCAAGCGCCTGGGGGACATCGCCAACTTTAAGCTCGGACAGATCGGTCTCAAGTAAGCCTGCCTTTTTGAGCCTGCCTTTTTGTTGGCCATCCCATGTTCAAGCTATACTAACTCGGCGCGCCCGCGCAAAGGCACGGCGATCTCATCTTCATTACATACAAGCACCAAGATGCTCTTTCCAATGGCGACGCTAATGGAGCCACGCCGTCGGCTTCGGCCCAGATCCTCCCTTCTTCCAACCGACTGAATGGCAAACCCATCCTGCCAACCGAGGACGTGCCCGTTGACCCCCTGCCGTCCACGGCGGCCACAGTCGAAAGGATCAGCAAACCCTGGGAGGTGGTAAAGCAGTCAGCGTTGGACGACCGACTGGACAAGAAGAATGGCAAGATCCCACGAGGTCGCGATCACAAAATGTGCAAGCACGGGCCCAAGGGCATGTGCGACTACTGCATGCCCCTCGACCCCTTCAACGCCAAGTACCTCGACGAGAAGAAGATCAAATACCTGTCCATCCACTCCTACCTGCGCAAGAACAACGCCGCCACAAATAAGCCCGAACTCGGAAGCTCCTTCATCCCGCCGCTGCAGGAGCCTTATTTCCGCGTCAAGCGGGACTGTCCCTCAGGGCACCCGCAGTGGCCCGAGGGCATCTGCTCCAAGTGCCAGCCCAGCGCCATTTCTCTCCAGCCCCAGACCTTCCGAAATGTCGATCACGTCGAGTTTTCCGACCCCTCCATCATCAACACCTTTATCGATGCCTGGCGAAAGACGGGCTCGCAGCGCTTGGGGTACCTCTATGGCCGATACGCAGAATACGAAGAGGTGCCCCTCGGTGTCAAGGCTGTTGTCGAGGCCATCTACGAGGTGCCTCAGGTTGACGAGTCGGATGGCGTTTCGTTGAACGTGTGGGAGAACGAGGAGGAGGTGAACAAGGTCGCCAGGATGTGCGGACTGCAACAGGTCGGCGTCATCTGGACCGACCTCCTCGATGCCGGCAACGGGGACGGCTCAGTCGTCTGCAAACGCCACGCCGACTCGTACTTCCTAGCCGCCCAAGAGATTTGCTTCTCATCGAGACTGCAGGCCCAACATCCCAAGCCTTCCAAGTGGAGCGACACTGGCCGATTTGGCTCCAACTTTGTTACGTGCGTCATCAGCGGCAACGAGTCTGGCGAGATTGCGATTTCGGCTTACCAGGTGTCCAACGACGCGGTGGAGATGGTCCGGGCAGATCTCATCGAGCCCTCTGCGGATCCAACACAAATGCTCGTCCGTGATGAGGTGGAGGATGATGGGACTGCGAGCCGCACTCGCTACGTGCCGGAAGTCTTCTACCGAAGAATCAACGAGTACGGCGCCAACGTCCAGGAAAACGCAAAGCCCGCGTTCCCGGCAGAGTATCTGTTCGTCACACTAACCCACGGCTTCCCTGCCGACCCCAAGCCTACTTTCATCCAGCCTGGTTTCCCGATTGAGAACCGTGAATACATTGGCGAAAGCCAAGAGCACTCTGCTGTCACCAAGATTCTCAAGTTTAATGGTGGCCAAAAGTCCAAGGATGATGGCCTGGAGATGTCCAACTTTCATCTCCTGTGCTTCGTCCACCAAATGGGCATCTTATCCGAGGTTCGTGCAAAGGGCACGAGGTCTGTTGTTCTCCCCGCTAACCATGTTTTTCAGGATGAGGAGGCGCTCCTCTGTCGCGTGGCCGCTCAGCACGACCTCGCTGATTCATACCAGCTACGCTCCACTGAAGGTTGGCAGACGCTCCAGGCGATCCTGTCATCGGCAGGTGAGACAACCCCCCACCGTGACACCAAACCCAAGAAGCGCTCGAGGGAGCCTGAGGGACACCCATATGCCCCTCCCACAAGATCTGGTTCCGTTGGAGTCAACGGCGCCGGCGCCGCGGACAGCGACACTCCTCCCCATTCAGCACGCATCCCCAGCGAGCCCGGAGAACCGCTTGCTAAACGATTTGCTGCCTTCAGGCTAAACGAGCGTCCGCGGTCTCAAGGATCGTGAGATGGCGACGACTCCGTACCGGACGACATGTGTGTTGTAGTGGCTGGTCGGAGGAAAGCACACGATGAAGGGCGAAATGCGCCCTCACACGTGGTTTCGTCGAGCTAAGGGAACCATTTTCTGATTTTCAGGTGGGATGGTTGGTTTCTCGGTTTCTAGTCACACGACCCGCAGATTCCCCCCAGGGGCGGATGCGACAGTCAGTGATGGTGTTCCGGACGTGGGTGCATTTAGACGCGGCAGGGAAAGGCTAAAGGCCCCCGGAGCCGGAATGCGACGGGGCAAAACAGCTTGGCACGCTCAATCACGTTACTCGCCATGATGCGCAAATCCACTCAACTCGTGTCTCGCCGTGTCTCTCGTGTCTCACCATGCGGCTCCCTCGTGCTTGAACTGACTTTTTTCATGTTTTTCCCCGTTTTCCAACCTAACTACTCCAGGCTACCGACCCGACTACTTTGCAAGCAGACCGTCCCTCTCCCCTGCCCTCTCCTGACTGGTCTACGTTCCCAACGTTGCAAACTAGCGCCAGCCGAACAAGACCTTGAAATCACACATCAACAGAAAGTAGAAGAGGGGAAGAAAATAGCAAAGAACAGCGACAAAAAACACGTGAAAGATCCTAGTTCGCCCCATTCAAAACGCCTTTCTTGAAAGAGGGGTGGGGAATATGAAAGGACAAGGCAGGTTGAATAAAAAAAAGAAAACCACCTCCTCACACAAAGGACTGAAATCCTTGTCGAGCAAGCGAGGGAGAGAGAGGGAGGTTATTGAACGTTAAAGAACGTTGAAAAAAAAAAGATGGCTTGATTCTTTTGTTCCCTTTCCTGCCTTGGTCTTTTTGGTTGGCTTTCTCTTTTTTGGGGGTTTGGTTCTCCAAGGGGTTTCATTTTTTTTTATTTATTTACAGCGGCTTGCCACCGATGAAGTCGGACCAGCGGCGGACCTCGGAGGGGATTCCCTCGGGGCGGGGGAGCTTCTCGGCCATGCACTGGGCGAAGAGCATGGCGGTCTGACATGTTAGCATGCGTCCTCTCTTGCAGCGGAAGAGTTCGAATGGATGAGAAATCAGGGGTGTGTTTTGCTTACCTTGGGCTCCATGAACAGGGGGACGCCAAAGTCGACGGCGTTGCGGCGCATGACGTAGTCGACGTCCATGACGGTCTTTCCGCGGGCGCGGGCGAGGTTGAATACATCCGCGAATGTCGACTTCTGGAATACCTCACGGAGGGCGCGCTTGTCCTCCTTGTGGAACTCAATGATTTTTTCTGAGTCGCCGCCCTTGTCGGTTTTTTTGTTGTTTGTATTGACTTCTGA